AATGTCAAGCTATAAATCTAATGAGTGCTTTTTGGTGGTTAGTGTTGATTAAAGAGAAGCGTCTAATGAACAGTACGCGCCTGTTACACACACTACCATTAATCAAGCTAAGAAAAAAAAAATAGATAGGTTTTTGACATTAAAATAGAAGCCAATGCTCACCACTGAGTATATTTAGACAAAGTGGTGGTCATCAACCAGAAAGGGCAAAACCAGTGCAAAAAAATACCAGAGCCACCTTTGGGAGTGACCCATGTCTCTGCATAGCCCATTGCTTTTTTTTTTCTTTTTTCTTTTTAAGAAGGAAGGTCATAAAGTAGTTAATTTAGGTCTGGGTGTAACAGGAAATTTCTGTCACTGCCAACATATAAAAGACTGTGAAAGCAACCCAATATGAGTCAGGGTCTCAACAACATCCAAGCATGTTTGTAATGTGGAGGTGGGTTGACGTCATACTCGGAAAGTGAAAAGAATATGCTAAAAATGATCTGATTTGACCTTTGTTTATAATCTTTAAAGAAATTCACAAGGAATTATATTAAATGAGTTAGAAACTTCTTTATCAATTTAGTCATTAATTTAATATGAAGTATATGTAAATCTTGAAGGGATGTTCCCAGTGGTGGTTCTGGACCAGAGTTACTGGGGCAGGGGCCACTTGTACTTTTAGGGGGCACACTTTTACATACAGTTGCAATCAGAATTATTAAACCCCCTTTGATTTTTTTTTAAACATTTCCCAAATTATGTTTATCAGAGCAAGGATATTTTCACAGTATGTCTGATAATATTTTTTCTTCTTGAGAAAGTCTTATCTGCTTTATTTTAGCTAGAATAAAACCAGTTTTTAATTTTTTTTAACCATTTTAAGGTCAAAATAATTAACCCCTTTAAGCTATATTTGTTTCCGGAAAAAAATATGGTCTTTAAATGTCACTTTAAGCTGTATAGAAGTGTCTTAAAAAATATCTTGTAAAACATTATTTACTGTCATCATGGAAAAAAAAATAAATCAGTTATTAGAAATGAGTTATTAAAACTATTATGTTTAGAAATGTGCTGAACAAAAAAAAAATATTCTCCCCTTTAAACAGAAATTGGGGGAAAAATAAATGGGGGGAGAGGGTTGGCTAATAATTCAGGTGGTTTAATAATTCTGATTGCAACTGTACATCACTAACCACTTAAACAAGTATTTAAATTTCATTGGGTTTCATTTTTTTCTTGCATCACTCTGCAGTCTTCATTAACGAGCTAATTAAATAACTTAAATTCAAAATAATCTTTCATGTTAAATTGTAATTGCATTGTTGAGTAGACATTCATAGTAACTTTGTATTGTAGAATAACACATTTTTAACTTCAAGCACATCTGTTAAACAAACATTAACACAGTTGAAGTCAATTGTTTGCTCTCCCATTAATTTAAAATAATGTTTCCCAAGTGATCTTTAACAAACCAAAGAAATCTTCATACTATTTCCTATAAAATTAAAATAAATCTTCTAATCCATATTAATAAGTCTTATTTCTTCTAGTTTGTCTGGAATAAAAACAGTTTTAGTTTTTTTTAAAACAATTTTAAGGACAGTATTACAAACCAGTTATACAATAACTTAACTACTTATTCTAACCTTCCAAAACAACATAACCTATTTAAGTCTTTTAATTACACTTAAATCTGAGTACAACTATCTTTCAAAATAACTAATAAAATAGTATGCACTAACTGTCACCATGGGAAAGACAAAAAAAAGTAGTTATTAGAAATGATTTAGTTAAACGATTATATTTAAAAATGTTTTGTAGAAAAATCATGTGTTGAAGACTCGTTCATTATGTCACTACTGAAAACAAAAATGAATGAAGGCAAAACTAAATAAGTTAAATTATTACTTCATGAACATGACAGAAAACTACATTTTATCAATATGTTACATCTGTTCTCCAGGACTTGCCGACTGTTTATAAATTCAAACTTGCATTTCCTAACATAAAACTAAGTACACTCAATTTCTGATTAATAATAGCCTATCATGGCCGAGAACCTCCTATAGTAAAAGTTTTAAAAATGGCTATTGAAATCAAAAGTCTAATATAATCAACAGTGGATATTTAGATTTTTCACAACATGAACTTGACTGAAGTTACATTTTTTATTACCTTTGTCAATTTGGGGCTTAACTTTTGACGATTGTGGGAAACTGATGCATGCAGCACCGTTACTGACAAAAAGGGAAAGCTGAGCGAGAGAGAGAGGCCTCAATCATATCGCCAAAGTCTGCCACCGACGGCTGACAAAAAGAAACGTCCAATTTTAGGGGGGCTAAGTAAACTAAGTCCTACTAATTTTTAACACTGGAACCTAAGTATACCAAAAAAGGGAGAGAAAAAAATACACAAATGACCAAAATAAAAATGGAGAATACTGCAGTATATGGTGTTTTGTTGCTGTTAGAACCAATTTAACTACATGAGCATCTACACCATGAATCAGGTGTTTTTAACTATCTCAAGGTCAAAAAATAATCAAAAGAGTACAAGCTTAAATGATTTTGTATCTCCGTTTAAATCAGTCATTTTTTTGTGTTATTCATTTCTGTAAACATATCGTATACCAGCTGTAAACAACCTGTGAAACTTCCCTCTCTCTTATTGTAAAGCATAAGTAGACAGTACGATTAGAGTTAATTTGGACATTATGTGTCAGTAGAATGTCTGTTGGGGGAAAGGGGGTTAACACTTTAGTGCATGTACCAATTGCTACTACAAACTTCTGGCTTATTACCTGCTAAGTAGTAAGATATTGGCAGTTTATTAGTACTTTATGAAGTACAATCCCTACATCCCTAATCCTTCTACTACCCTAACCCAACTATTACCTTACTAACTACCAATATGCAATAAATTAGTAGTTTATTGAGCTGAAAGTCTTAGTTAATTGTTTGTTAATAGTGAGATCATATGTTGACCAAAAAAAAGTGTTAGCAGATATTAAGCAGACAGTCTGATTATAATGACTTGCTTGTAGTTTCAAAGTTATACTCAACAGAAATGTTAGTAAATGTCTACACTGACAAAAGGTAGCAGTCTATTCATTGTTAGTTATTCTTTACAGATTTATCCAGGCACACAAATAGCAGCATTCTGTAGAATGGCCCATAAAGCTTCACGATTTCTGTCTCAGAGCTTCAATAAACTCACCAGCTCTATTAGAACGCCTGATGGTGACAGCTATGATGAGGTATGACTCTGATCTGCTCTGTAAAGGGTGTAATTAGATGTGTCAGTCTCTGAAGAGCTGATGTACATTTCCACACTGTTATGAGCACGACTGATATGGCTGCGGAGGCTAATATCATCCATCTTAGGCGATATTGCACACCCGCTGCAATCCTTCTAGTGCAGGCGGATTTAAATGTTTTGGATGTCTTAATACATTATACGGGGGCACATTAAATGTCACAAATAAACCTATGTGGGTTTGCATAAAGTGTACATGCTGTATAGTAATGTCAGGTCATCTGAGGACTTGATTTTGGATTACTAATACATCCGTTCCAAGTATAATGTTTGGTAAGCGTTATGAAGCATTTGCAGAATTGGAAATTATTTTCTCATGGAACTTTAAATGTTCCAGAGTTAAGAAACTGATGTATGAAACACTCGTCAGGACCAGAGCCAAGCCATATAATCTAAAATCTAAAACAGCAGCCTCCTCCCAGTGAATTCTGTGAATCAAACAATACAGTCACAATTAGATTTATATACAAACACCAGATGTTGCGTCTTTGCCTTTCTTGGCAACCCAACCAATCCCTGCCACTTCGATAAAGAAGTTCTCCCACTCTCTCACAATAATAGTTTTTCTACTCCTGAAGTAAATATCATTATGAGCGCAGTTACCTTTAATAGATTCCAAACATTAGACATGTGGTTTCCCAGATTTGGGAATATCCCTGGTCAAACCGCTGTTTTCCACTTGGAAACATAGTCAGCTTAACAGACACCTCAAAAATGCCCTCTAGTGGTGATGTCTATTGCAGAAAAACAAATCATAGGTTGTCAGAGATGTTGGTGACAGTAATGAATGCTTTGGTTGTCTGTGTTGGAATAACCATTTTGTAGACAGTCTATGAAATATTTGTTTAAAAAAGGGGGATCCTACACATTTTGTTAGTTTAAATAAATTTCCCATAATCAACACAGCTGTTTTCCTAAAAAAAAATTTCAATTAGATGGCATCATGTTGCATTTTTAAAATGAACTCAACAGGTAATGTTTAAACTCTGGGATAAAATGCTAAATAAGGGACAAGCAAATGTAGGATAGTACACCTTACCCCTTTTAAAGGGGTAGTTCCCACAAAATAAAACAAAGTTCTCACCATTCACTCAGTCAGGTGGTTTTAAAATTCTTTGTTTTGTTAAACTCAAAACGAAATATGAGTGTGCGTGTGTGTGTGTTGGGGAAAAAGCAGCCACTGCAGCACATCCATAGTAGGAACAAAAATACTATGGATGTCAATATTGTTTTTCATTCAAAACATTCTTCAGTATATTTTCCTTAGTGTTTGACAGAAAAAAAGGGCAACACTTTATTTTGATGGTCCATTTGAGTCTTAGTAGACTGTCTGCTTAATATCTGTTGATACTACTTTTTCAACAGACATTTAACAGACCATAAGAAACTTTGCAAGTCCATGTCAACTTACACTAACCCTAACCCCAACCATAACCCCAACCTAACAGTCTACTTATAATCTAATGAGATTTAGTTGGTATGTAGATGCAATGTAACTTAAATTCAACAAATGGACCATTAAAATAAAGTTTGCCTAAAGAAAGATACTCAGAAGAGTTTGGAACAAGTGAAAAAAATTAGAAAATGAACTTTAATTTTAGGGTGACCTATCTCTTTAAGGCTCAAAAATAATGACTTTAAACAATATTTGCATGTATTTTTGACTAATTGTGCAATATGCATTCTATTTATTTCAGAAATGCCCTCCACCGTGTCTGAAGACTGGCTGACAGACTTTACCCAAGAATCTGCACTCCCTGACTGCAACGCAGAACGGTCTGGAATTTGCAGTTCTAGTGACACTTGGCCCACCACTGTCCTGAGCAACAGCAGCAAAAATGACAGCACAACCACGGTCTCCACCAACCTCTCTCAGAGTCCTATACTGTTTCCAGCCCCACCTATGTTTGTGGCACTGTATTCAGATTGGAACAGTGCCCTGGCAACATGGGGTTCAGCGTGGGAAGCCCACATCTACGGCCTGGGCACAGTGTTCTGTCTAGTTGCTTTGGCCTCCACCCTGAACCTTCTGTGCCTGCCTCTACAGTACCCATCAGGCTGTGGCTACTTTGCTCTGGTCAGTTTTTGCCTAGTTGCAGCTGGCTCCACTAGGGCCTTTGCCCTAGTGTATGATGCATATGGATACCAAGACCGTATGTCATCCACAGAGGCCTCGTTGTTACTTTACGAGGCTCCATTCCCCTGTATGACTGCTGCCTTTGGCTTAGTGTTCCTTCTCCTATCAATGCGCTCCCGCATGCAGCTATCCTATTCCGTCTTTCAGAGACCTTGCATCCTGGCCGGCTTGGTGCTTCTGCACTTTGCTGCTGCCTTTGGCCCCGTTGCATTACTGCATGTTGACCAACGAGTCTACCTGTTTCTGTCCTTGATCTCTAGAGGTGCCTTTGTGGCTCTGGCAACCTTCCTATCAGCAGCATATTTTGTGTTCTACTGCTATGTTCGTGCTGACTCCAAGCATATTTATCATCTGAACAACACATCGCCAACACCAGCTGAACGCTACAACCGCTGCCCATTTGCAGAGAGCCGAGATTGGGACAGAGCTGCAGCTGCAGTGCTACTCTCTGCCATCTTCTCTCTGGCCTGTGCTGGTCTGCAACTCTACGCCATGCTACACGCTCTTGGCATGGCTGGAAGTGTTGAGTCCTTTCGCCCTTGGCCATGGTGGACTTTCCAGTTCAGCTGCAGAGTGTGTGAAGCAGTGGTTTGTCTCACACTGGTTCTGGTAGTTGCTCAACCAGTCTACTGTTCCGATCACCTTCCCCAGGCAGGTAGTTGCTGGACTGAACTTCTAGCAGCAAAGTCACCAATTATTCCTGGAAGCTATCAGTGGACTCTATCACATCAGGAGAAGCTTGCTATCTGTGATCCAATTGGGCATGGGGAGACAGAGTGCCTACCATTGTACACACTTGTGGATGACCGTCTAGGCAGCTTAAATGGTCTTGACCTTTTGTATCACAGCAACCGTGCACTGGCCTACCGTGACCTTGACCTGGATTTGCCCAACACTCATCCCAACACCGGTGCCCCTTCTATGGGTTCATCCTGTACAAGTGACTCTACAGCAGACCTGCGTCCTCCATCACCTATAAATCTGCGTCGAAGCATTGATGAGGCACTTTTTAGTGAGTCTCTATTTCCCATGAGCATCTTCAGCCCCTTACGACCCTTCACCTCAAGTGACCGCTCCCTGAATGGTAGAGAAACCATCTCAAGTGGTGCCCAAACAGCGAGAGGCACCCTTATTCCTGATCCAGGGTTATACCGAACATCATCATGTGTGGAGGTGCTACCGCAGGCTCCCATTCCCCCTCAAGCCCAAATGAATGGTCCGTCGTTGGGTTTTCCTCCATCCCCATCTCCCTCACTCTCATCTTCCACTTGCTGCTCATCTCCAGAGCGCTGGAGAGGCAGCTCCAGTTCCTCTTCCCTCTACAGACAGTCTCTGGGTGGTTCTTCTCTAGTTCTGTGCTCTACTCCAGAAGGACACCATCCTCCATCATCTACCCTCAGTGGAGGTTCCAGCCACACTGCCAGCTCTGGGCACCAACGAGACAACGTACAGAGACCCTACAGAACATTAAAGTCAGAGGACAGTCTGGACCAGCAGTCGGAGTTTGATCAGTCCGTCCAAGAAGAGTTTATCAGTGTGTGCAGACAGATAGATGCTCTTAGCATCTGCAGCGAGACTATTGACCTCTAGGGGAGTCCTCAACTTTCAGACAGAAGAATGATGTAATATGATAAAGCCAAAAGACTCGGGGTGCTTCTCAAATCATCACTAGGATTCCTACTCCAGTTCTTCTAAGGCTTAATTGGTAGAGTCCATCTAAGCATAGGACTTAGTACTAGAATGTCAACTCTTACTATATGGTCTTGTAAGTGCAAATGGCTGTCATACATTTATCCACCCTTGCAGTCACTGTGCACAAGTAATATTAAATCCTAATCTAAGGGCGAGTATCCACCAAATTGCTAAAAAAGCTCAGGTGTGAGTGCTACTTCGACTGCCTGGGTTCCTTTTACAACAGCAGAAAAAAATGCTCAGCTGGAGAAAAATCTCTTCAGTAGACATTCACCCTACAGGTGAGGATACATGGTGCAACTTTTGAGCAATGTTGCTAGGCAAAGTGATTTTGCTTGGATACTTTCCTATGAGGAAAGGGCAAGAAATTTGTATCTGGGTCCAGTTGCACTAGTTAGTTGCCCTGTGTCACACTGGGTTGTCCATTGATGGCACCATTGGCGAAAGTTCCCCCATGTAACATGACCATAAAGATTACTTCATATAAAAATCTTTATATTCACCAGTTTTCAGTCAATGCAGTACAAGTAATGACAACTGTCTGTATTCTCTCAGTGGTTTACATAACACAAGCATTATGCGATGCATTTACAACATTGATTTTCATCTCCAAATGTTTTTTGTTGTTTTTTTGCATTATATAATGGAATTTAATTAGCACAGTGCTCAGCTTATTTTCAGCTAAGTGTTTGTGAATTGAATGTGTGCAATAGATTAAGGGTAAACGAAGGATGCCATGAATAACACCAGATGTACCCTTCAAAATAGGACACGAAGCAAAGACTGCCTACTAAGCATCCTTCTAATTGAGATGTCCTTCAGCGAAGCTTGATGGCATGGCAGGGTAGATATGCAGCCTTACTAGGACACATCCTTCCGATTGAGAAGCACCCATGCAGTGATGTGATAAGCAGGAAAGGGGCAAATCAGGTGACTTGGTGAGTGTATTTACCAAGCTGTCAGATGTGTGTTGGACTAGAACTGTGCCAAATGTTTCAATTTCAGGATGTTTTTGGTATGTTCCTGTCAGGTAAGTTCTCCAAAGAGATGGATTCTGAAGTCAATATCCTTATAAAGGTTTATGAAGTGCCACCACTTGCCAGAAGCTTAGGCAGATTTTTGTACAAAAGTCCTTTGATTATTGATAAATTTGTAAGTGTAAAGCATTGCTTTCAAAATTTCTCTACACTACTAAGAGTGACGTTTGTATCAATTTGTACAAAATAGCTTTTTGGTCTATATGATTAATACTGTGAGAGTGCAAACTACTGATATCCATATTGTAAAACAAATACTACAGAATCTAGCTTCAGAAAATGCTATCAATACTGTGTCTAATTTTGTAATCTGCATCATTTTAGAAACAGTCTTTGTGCTTCTAGTGTTTAGTCGCACAGGTAACTGCAAGTCACTGTTTATTCGTTTGTTTGCAATAATGCATTATGACGTCGAAGGGCCTAAAAAGTTTTATCAAATATGAGGGAGAAAACGTCTCTGTAGTTCAGTTGTTTTGTAGCACTTAACAAACTGAACTATAGAGCACAGACTGCCATTTTATCTTCCTCATAGTGTATATTTGATGACAATAATTTATCTGAAATACTCATTACACTGTTGCTCAATACATATTATGACTTTGTACATTTTATAGCGTGCATGAAAACTATGTGAGAAACAGCTGATACATCTAATGTTTGTTGTTTAAAGGCTGTTGGAGATTTTCAATAAATATTAAAAACTGAGGTCCAAAGCAGGTATATTTTACCTCCATAAAGCATGCAAAACAAAATGCGTAACAGATTAAGTTTATTTTTCATATATCATCAGCAATATCGAACAGGATATGCAACCTGCCGTAAACAAACGAGGCTCTCGAGTTGTCAAAGACTGTGACTGTGGGCGTAGCAACATACAAACGGTTATCAACATCCAGTTGATTAAAATATGCATCTTTGTACATGGTTATACTGAAAATTTGAAAGAAAATACAATACTATTGTCTGATTTTGATACCAAAAAGCTAAACAAAAACACTAAAGTAAATGTTTATAGCTAACATGCTTCATTTTGGCAGTGATTTTTGGGTTAAGACAGACGTGTCCTTCATTTATTACACAATTCAAGGCATCTCACTGGTTTACCCAACATACAAAGTTGTAGGTGAAGTTTAGATGACACAGATAAATACATCCTGAGAAATAACCAGGACCATCACAGCATCTTTTTGGCTTTTAAAGAAGATTAAATAGTCAAGTTAACAAAAACCAAAACACATTTGGCAGTTATGTAAATAGTACAAATGTTGCCATATTATGACTTATAAAAAAAAAAGAAAAAAAGAAAACCACAGCATGCAAGTATTAAAAATCGCAATTGTATTCACAAAGACCCATAATAACTACTCTTCTTTAAAATTCCCAAAAAGGCTGCATTAAAAGTCCGTCATTATTCATCAACCCTGATAAATCAACAAACCCTTCCAGCTTTTTTTGGTCAGAAAATATATTCCACACATGATTTCATGATACTCTCAGAGCAACTACTGTACGTATGTATATATCTACAGATATCATATTTGGTAATCAATTTTCAGTATGAATTGTACCCACAGTTACAGGACGCAAAATGGTGGACATAAAGATCCGTCCCACCCATAAAACGACAGATTTAACGATCACAAAATTGACATGAATGTTTCGACGTACCTCTTTAACCTGTCTTCTAAAATCAAAAATATATCATATCGCATCTTCAGTAGTTACAAGTCTACTACAGAAAAGATTGCCTCAAGTATATTTGGAGCACTTGGTTTTATGGCAGTCATCGTTTTATTGGTAGATGTGGAGATATTAGTGCTGCCCGTAGGAAAAACTTATTTCAGTTTGAGGGAAAAGGCGGTCAGGAATATTCACACCAAATGCTGCCTTGTTTTTGCTGAGCTGCTAATAGACAGATGCGAAAACACAAACACAGGGAGTTTTTTGGTAACCCTGATGCCCCCTTTGAGTGCAACTGCCATGTTTTTGTGGACTGGATTAGTTTGAGGTCCTGCTCTCAAACTAGTAATACTTTTCTTTCACAATGTGTGCTGGCAGGGTGGGATAACTTTGTCTGAGGTGTTTGGTCGCTGCTTCCCATCCGTGTTTCGTCTGCTTGATTTAGTAAAGACGCTTCTCGAAGCTATAAACATAGAGATAATGGTTTCAGATATGTATATTAGGTTTTAAAATAGAAATGTAAAGTTAAACAATGGCGCCCCCTAGTGACTTACGAGTGAAGTCCATGTACGCCACCCTCCACTTGAGCTGACATGGTCCTCTTCTCGAATTTTAGTTCTCCGGAATACATCATGGAGCTTGATGTGTAGACAAAAACAGTGTAATTAGGGTTTGAAAGTAGCGTGGAATGTGCGATTCAACACAGACACAAACTTACCGAAGTACAGAGAGGCTTTTAGCACCAATGTCTTGGCAGCCGTGTTGGATTCCAGCGATGAGGTATGGGACAAATTTATGGATGGAGCCTTTGTCCTGCACTGAGCCGGACACTCCTTGAGCCACCTTCACTTTATCGCCCTCACTGCGAGCACAGCCAATAAGCACAGGGGGAAAAAGGTCGTGTGATGATTGGTACTGCATACTGTAGCATATTATACTATAACTTTAATAGTACACTATTGCATACTAAATAGGCTTAAAATTGAATATCAAAGTGATGTGTGAAGTAATTTTCAACAAAATCAGGCCATAATTGGTTTTAAAAAAAACCTACCAAAGTAAACTTTCTATTAAAGCTGGTAAACGCATTTAAAACACCACCAATTCATCCCAGCTAACTCAAAACATTCTCCAAATGTTAGTATTGGTTCATGTTTGGTTACTTTTTATCTGTTTTTTTGCATAATAACATTATAGAAACTTTTAAATCTGGTTATTTTTATCTGTTTTATTTTCTTTAATAATCTAGAAATAAATTGTTCCAAATAGTATATTTTAGGTTGTTTTGCAACCATAATATAGCATTACCTAAAAACAGACAATAACATATAAAGAATGTTAACTAATTTTATTTTACAATCATGAAATAACATTCCTAGAGTATTGCAGGTTATTTTATTTTATAATAATCTAAAACTAAAGTATAGTAGTTATTTTTAGGTTATTAGAAAATGAAATAACCTGCAATGCTCCGGGATTGTTATTTGATTGTTGCAAAATAACCATTTTTCCTCAAAAAAAAAAAAATTTAAAGAACGTTTAAGTTATTATTTTGCACTATTTATGCTTTTCCATTTCCAAAATTCTGTATCAAAAATTAATAAGTTTACAATAAGGTTCCATGTAGTAGTGCATTTACTAACATGACCAAACTGAACATTTGTTAATGAAAATAAAGTTGTTTATTGTTATTTCTTGATACTCAGTTTAATAACTTACTGTTAGGCACAACTTTGGATTTTTAATAATGCAGTAGATGTTGAACTAGGATTAATAAATGCTGTATTGTTCCTTCTTAGTTTTATAAATACATTAACATTTACTAACACACTGCAAAAACAAACAAAAAAAATCAAGCAATTCCTAAATTAAGAAGCATTTTATGGACATTCAAAAAATGTAGTCTTGTTTTAGGAAATAATATGCCAAAATTAAGTGAGTTTTTCCTCAATCCTCATTCGTCTTTCGGATGAGACGTTAAACCGAGGTCCTGACTCTCTGTGGTCATTAAAAATCCCATGGCACTTCTCGTAAAGAGTAGGGGTGTAACCCCGGTGTCCTGGCTAAATTCCCTCCTTAGGCCCTTACCCATTATGGTCTCCCAATCCTCCCCCCATCCACTGAATTGGCTCTATCGCTCCCCACTCCACCAATAGCTGGTAAATACTCGCATTACATTACATTAAAACTAGCTAAATAATCTGCCAGCGGCGCAAGCAAAATAATCGATGTCAAAAGAAAAAACAAGATTATTTAACTTACCCCATTGACCAATTATTTAGCTTGATTTTAAGAAAACCCCACTTAATTTTGGTAAATTATTTATTAAAACAAGTATGTATGTTTTAAATGTCCAAAAAAAGCTTCTTGATTTGAGAACTTTTAGATATTTGGACAAAAAAACAAGACAAAAACTCCAAGTAAGAGAACATTTTTACGCGTATCGTAAAGTGTAATCTAAAAAAACAATTAGTTTATACTACATTAAGCTACTTTAAGGCCTTTATTTGGCACAGTATTTAATTCTAACCATATCAGTAGTTTTCCTAATGCTGAATATCTCAACAAACACGCACCTGAAGTATCGTTTCTGGCTGCTGGTGTTCTTTTCCATGGCATCCAGTGAGCCCATGCCTCTGTATTTCTTCAGTCTCACCCCATCAGAGAAGAAATACTCTCCCGGAGCTTCGGTGGTGGCGGCCAGCAAAGACCCCATCATCACTGCGCACAAAAAACACAAGTATGTAATCAGATTTTCAGCCCATTTCAATGCTAACAGTGAGCTAGTGTAATAATTACCTGTCGATGCCCCCAGAGACAAAGCCTTCACCACGTGGCCGACAGTCTGGATGCCTCCATCTGCAATGACTGGCACTCCAAACCGCCGAGCATATTCTGCCACCTTATAAACTGAGGTACCTTGAGGTCTCCCACAAGCCATGACTAGAAGAAGCCAAAATGAAACATGTCAGCCATAATGATCACAGATATACACATTTGACTGCTCTAGACACATTCGCCATCTTGGAATGGTCAACCATGTTATTTTAGACAGTTAAAATCAATAGCAGTTGCAAGACGTCATGTGCTATCAAAACTGCACAAAAAACTCTGATATAACTTGAAATAATAGGATAAAAAAAAGAGCGTTGGGATTGTTTCTTATTAATTCAATGAAGATTCTGTCATCATTTACTCACTTTTACACTTGTTTAGTTTCTCTTTACTGTAAACACAACAGAAGATATTTTGAAAACTGGTAGCCATTGATTTTTTTCCATAGCATTGTTTTCTATGGATATCAGTGGCTATTGAGTTTCCAACATTCTTCGAATAAGTATATTTTCATTTTAAATGAACTATCTGTACTAATATTACAGGTTTTCAAACTATGGTAACCTTTTCATAGTGTATATTGTCTGATTACAGAGATGCAAACTTGAATACAAAATCGATGAATGTGACTAGAGGCATTTTCAGTGTCACAGAGAAGCTTGGTTTGCTATAAAATCCTCCAAATAAGCTGCATTTCACTGGGAATTGTACATGTACACTTGAAAATGTAACACAACAAATGTCTTAACAAATATGAAATTGCAATCATATTTTTAATCTGTTGGAAACAAAAAAGCTTTAATTTTCACTGTTCCCAAAAAAAAAAAAAAAAAACATAAGGTAATGTTAACTATGAATATCTGATTGATCATATCACTCTTCTGTCAATGAAATATGTCATCTTATTTTATTTACACAGTACAATTTTGAACTGATTTATTACAGCATATTATAAAATGTATGGTGTATATATATATATATATAATTATATGTTATATATTACAAATAATTTAATAATATTACCATAAATAATTAAGAAAAGTTTTACAAATAATTATTATTGTTTCTTTTGTTCTCAATATTGCTATTTTTGCCATATTGAGTGACTGTGGCCAGAAGGAGAGAGAGATGTTTATTATATCTAAATATATGTAGTCGAGAATAAGATTTACACTCATTTTAAAGCTGTT